ATACACTTAATTTCAACAGTCGCACTATAACAAACGCTATAATTCACAATGAACGTCTCACGTGCTCAACAATATTCTCTCTCCGCAGTTCAATTACACATTACCCTCCGTTGCTTCTTGGCCGGTCTTATATATACAAGACTACCTCAATCTAGTAGTCTCTCGACATTTTATGAAGGTTCGAGAAGGAAGTGGCGTGATACAAGCGTCATGTGACCTGCGTTGTCGTAACAGTATGTTTTGAAACAAAGGCTTGAACATTTCTAAATTAGTTCTGTTTTTCATGTATAATTAAAAAAATCATTTAGATTTACAAATTTTAAATTATTAATTTTTCAATATAATTTCTATAAATGTAAATACTCTCTACTCCCAAAGGGATCCAGAATAATTACTTCATGTGGAATGTCACTAAGAAGTGTATTATGAAGCCTTAATAAGGATAAAGCATTCAGTTGTTAGTTTAACATCTACATTGTTTTACTTCACACTGATTAATCAAGTATTTGTTTACATTTTTCAAGGCTGTCTTGTCTACTTTGTTCTGTTTGAAAATGAATAATTGCTGAACTATGAGAAAATGAATATGATAATAGTAATAATAACTGGTTCATATGTCTTCAGTTCTGCCAGAAAGTTTGAAACAAATGAGATGTTGAAATATTCTGGATATATTTTTATAATAAATAGAAATGATATAGATGCTGAATAGAAATGCAAAAATTTTTAGTTTTTTTTTATTCCTGTTCCTTGTACAATCAGTATTATTTAAAATTTATATCTACATAAGATTCATTGAGCATGTGTCACATAACTCCTGCTGGTTGCATCAATTTCTAACTGATACCAAATGGTAGTCTTGGTCCCAAAGTTTGCACAAAAGTAAAACTTTTCACCTAACCCCAGGTACTTCACAAAATACTTTTATTGGAATTCCTTGAAATTGGACTCCAAATATAGAATTGACTTACATTAGAGCCTGTACATAAGTATGCCTGCTAATTACCCTTGGTTAAAGAAATTGAACTTGCTTTATAGTGGCAATGATCATTAAACTGTAAAATACTAGTTCAAGCATTAAATGTGCATTATAGTGGCCCTTTAAATGTGGGCCACAGGTTCGCTAGTGATATAGTAGAGAGTTTAGTGTTCTCCCAGTGGCTCAGTGGTAAGTCTTAAAGCTTGTAATGCTTAAAACCAAATTTTGATACCCTTGGTGGGCACAGCACAAATAGCCTGTTGTGTAATTTTGTGCTTAACCACAAACAGAATGCAGCTTATATATGAATCACTTTCATTACTAATATATTTTTTAAAAAATTAAAGGAGTAATATTTTGAAAAACTTCAGACTGAATCTTTGCCAAGCAAGCTTTGCCATTTTTACATAAAAATAATATTTAATATGGCCTAAAAATATTTGCAGAGATGAGATAATCGTGATGCATAAATTTATGAAGTTTTTAGATATAATACTGGCATGACTACCTCATTTAATTACATTGATTAAGATAATTTTAGAAAAATGCCTTTAGATTTTTTCACTAAGCCTATTAGAGCCTAATCATGTCATATATTATCCAAGATTTTATAAACTTCCATTTGTATCTGTTGTTTGAACTTACAGTAAAGTAGTTCCTATAGAAATGTGTATGTAATGAAAGTGGGGTGAAGTTGTTAGTAACATATTATAAGATGATGTAATACCTCTAAACAGTCGGAAAGTTTTATGACTAGCCTGTAGTGATATAAACACGATTTATACATTTAGAATAAAAAGTATATAAACACGAATATGCATTTAGAATAAAAAGATCCATTATAATGATTCCTGCATTTGCAACCATTTATAAATTGATCAAAATGGATCAAATAGAGCTAAAACCTTTAGAGCTGAATTCACACCCAGTGTTATCATATGGATAGGATAGTCTGTGAGGTAAATAGGGAAACAAAAATAGACTATGTTACCCAGGGGCACAGGTGGAGGATATAACTGACAGCACAAGAAATACAATAAAGGGGTTAGCAATGATGCAGTTTTTGTTGTGCATGTAGGGGCTGATAAAGTAGGGAAAGGTAGGTCAGAGGGGCTAATTAATAAGTACAAGGGGTTGATAAAGGCATTTAAAGAAAAGGCCATAACTTAATTGTGTGTCAGGGATACTACTGAGAATTAATTGTGGGGACGAAATTATGAATAGGTCACTAGGCCTAAATGCAAGGGTGGTAATAAAAAATTATCCCAGTAATTATAAGCCTATTAGTCTTGCATGGTTTCACTAATGAAACATTTAGCCTTAAAAATCTTTTGACACTCTTTGAAAAGGTTACTGCTTATATAGGTGAGGGTTAGGGTGTAGATTTGGTGTATCAGGATTTTCAGAAAGCATTTGATTATGTGCCATGTAAAAAAGTTATATCTATAGGTGTTGGGGATAAGTTAGCAAACTGAATAGAAGAATGGCTGGATGGAAGAATGCAGAGGGTTATAAATGTAGTTCAGTCAAACATGATTAATGTCATAAGTGGGTTACCTCAGGGCTCAGTTTTGGGACCTTTGCTCTTTTCGATTTACATCAATGGCTCTGAGTGAAACCAAGAGTGCAACACAATTAACCTTTTTAAAGTCTGTGAAATAATTTAATTTGATAAATTAACTTAAAATTTTCCCATCACTGGGGACAGGCACTTTTGCTTGTAATTGATAACATTGAAATAATGAGATGATATATCTAGCCAGAAAAAAAAAAGAATTTTTGAATTATTCTAGGCTTCAGTAAGGTTGCCCTTTACGACACCTGCACTAAAATAATCAATAAATTACTTAAATTTGCCGATGATAGTAAGGTCTTGAGTGTTACTAGCTGTGAAAAGGATGCTGCTGCTTTACAAAAAGATTTAGATCATTAGTGAGTTGGGCAAATAAATTACAAATGGGTTTTAACTATAATAAATGCAAGATAATGCAGGTGGATTATCATAATTTGAATTCTAAGTATGATTTGGATGGAAATATCCTTAAAAGTGTCAGGAAAGAAAGGGATCTTAATATAATGGTTGATCAGTCTCTTAAGCCATTCAAGCAATGTGCTTTTGCTAGTGGTAGAGAAAATAGGATTTTAGGTTGTATTTACAGAAATATTGAATAGAAGTCTTAAAAGATTATAATTTTATTGCATAGGTCACTGGTTAGGCCACATTTTAAGTTTTGTGTTCAGTCTTGGGCTCTTTACCTTAGGAAGGACATTGAATTGTTGGAAAGGGTTCAGAGGAGGGTTATTATAATGGCTCCTGGGATGGATGGGTTGTCATATGAGGAGAGATTAAGATCTCTGAAATTGTTTTCTTTTAAAAAATTAATAGTTAGAGGGGATCTGATTGAAATGTTTAAGATTGTAAAGGAATTTAATAGTGATGATGCATCATATTTTTTCACACTTAATGGCAAGAATAGTATGACTAGGGGACACAAATATACATTTTAGCAAGGTAGCAGTCATCTTCAGCTTAGACAATTTTTCTAACAGGGTGGTTGGCCTCTGGAATGGGTTGCCTTTAGATGTAGTGGAGGCAGTAAATTTAAGTGAGTTTAAGAGAAAGCTTGATAATTATATGAATGATAAAGGCTGGCTTTAATATTTTTATTTGTAAAATTTATTTATTTAATAGTTTTAGTTTAGTTTAGAGGATGGGACAGCCAAGATGGACCAATAGGTCCTTTGTTGTCCCTAAGTTTTATAAGTTATATGCAACCTTTATTCACATATTTTAGTGAGTTATTTAGAAAATACTCTTACAACAGGTAATTAATTGTTTTTTGTTTTTTTACAGATCGTGTGGGTCTTAAAGAAGTTCTTGATATTCAGCGTCTTAATCAAGCCATATTGAAGTCGCTCCGGTTTGAATTGGACTGCACCCACAAATTACCTTATAAAGGAGATGTCAGCATATTGGATTCTCTTTTGGCCAAGATTCCAAGCCTCAGAGAAATGAACATTCTACATATGGATGCCTTAGCAAAGTTCAAACAGACTTATCCTCACCAAGAATTTCCTGCTTTGCATAAAGAGCTTTTCTCAGTTGATATGTGATTCGTTTTCCATTTGGCTTTGAATGACTTTTATGGCCTATCTAGTAAAATAAATGAGACCTAAGATTTCTTAAATTAAAAGGCCAGTTAGAAAAGACAGCAAAGCTACAGGTTTATACCTAATAGCCTGCTACCAAAATGAATCCAACTTGTCATTTTCTCTATCAATCTGTGGAGAAGATTGAGAATTGAAGTTGGGATTTCTTCAGCATTCCCAAACTTTTAGACTCTCAATTTTGGATGTAGTGTAACTCCAATTTACACTTGTGGTATAAAGATAACTGAGTTGTTGCTAGCATTGATAGAAAACATAATTAGAAGAAGGATGAAGGTATAAGCTCATACTGTAAGCTGGATCTTTATCTCCCTTCCCCCAAACAAAAAGTAAAATTAATGAAAAAGTCTGAGCTGAATTGTGAGAAAGATGTGATATAGAGTAAAATTTTATGGAAAGTTTCTGTTTATGAGTGTTTTATGAAAAGTGTTTAACATGTAAATTTTAATAACAGTGTTTGTGAAACAACAGTATGAACTTGCCAAACATATACAAACTTTCTCGTTAAGGAATCATGCTAACTGTAGTTGCAGAGTCATGGCTCCTTTGATCATTTTAGTAGAGTAAGTTACTGCCATCTTAGCTTCTCATCTGGAGTGATCATTAGATCTAGATAACACATTCAGTTCACTTATTTATGGTGCACTCATTCATTATTGTTTTGTTTGTAAAGTGTTTTATAAATTTTAATTTTAAGTTTGGAGATTTTACATTTAACCATTTAATCATATGTTCATTGTCATCATCAGGTATTTGTGTAGCCCATATGTTTCAGTCAGAAATGGGATCATGATATCAGGGGGTTCTAGCAGTAGCTCAGGGCACACTTGAACACTATATCTGCTTACAAGTTAATAATTAACATTATTTACAAGTCCTCAGGGGATCTCATTGTTTTCTTTTGTTTTATTACTTTTTGGAGTAATCTACTGTGCTCTTGTACCTAGTTCCTCAGTGAATTTATTTGAGAGTATTTCAGTTATTGAGGGAAGAAAAGAAAGTGTAGTGGCAGCAGTTTGTCCTGTCAGGGTACATGGATGCACCATGAGACAGAAACGTTATTTATTTCTATACCCCAGCTAATGTATTCCTTTGTCTAGAGTAGTCACCAATATCTACAGAATGGTACAGTCCAAGAAGGACTAGAAAAAGCACTGCCATGGGAAAGAGATAGTGTCTACCTCGCACCTGGGTTGAGAGCAGTATTATAGTGCTATCACTGCCACTTTCTGCTTACTTCCAGAAATGAAAATAATTAATTTTTTCAATAACTTTAAGGCCACTGTTAAGGGTGTGTTCCATGAGCCCTGACCATAGGTAGGATATAGTATATACATGACATTCACAATTAAGTCAAAATATTTTTTGTCCCTCCCACACACACATTTTGGTCCCAATTTCCACCCAATGCCCTGATTGTATTGGACTAACCTAGCATTGGTAGAAGTTTACTACATGCTTCTCAACTGTGCCTAGTAAGATAGATTTAGGTCTCTCCAAAAGACAAGCGACTTTGACCACTAGTGTGATACAGAAGTTGAAAATAGGACATATTTTTGTAGAGTTTTAATGGTTAGATTTTAAAGGTATCTTGTTATTTGTTGCTGATGAGAGACATCTTACCCAAGCTGTTCATGGGCACCTAAGATACTGAGCATTGCAGGTGTTTGTGGCTGCTGAGAGATATCTTACCCAAATGTTCACAGACAATTGGAATACTGAGCATTGCAGGAGTTTGTTATTTGTTGCTGACGAAACATATCTTAGCCAAATGTTCACAGGCACCTGGGATACTGAGCATTGCAGGTGTTTGTGTTTGTTATTTGTTGCTGATGAGAGATATCTTACCCAAGCTGTTCAAAGGCACATGGGATACTGAGCATTGCAGGTCTTTGGTTCAGTGTGAAGTAACTTTCTAAATAGTTGTTGTAAGGTAAGAAGGCTCATTCACTAAGCTTGGCTGGGTGATGAATTGTTAATATTGTTTCCATTAATAAGAATAAGCTGCCCTTTAATGTATATTTTACAAGAATTATTTTAGTTTGTCCTTTGTTGTAATTAGCATTTGTAATGTTGCATTACACATTTTGTCTTCACTTTTAAGCATTTTAAACACATCTTCACTGTATAATATACTCTATCATAAATGTCATAAGATTTGTAATAGTAAGGAAGAAGCTATCAGTGTTTTTGAAATTACAGTCCCTTTTTTATCAACCTAATACTAGATGGTTAAGTTCAGGAAGAAATATAGATTAGTTTGAAAAGATAGTAACAAAGTTTTCAAGAAATTAGCTATGTTTTAGTTATCTAATACACTGCAAATGACAAGATTATCTTCCTAATTCTTAAATGGTTGAATTTACTATATTTTAAAAAATATGTAGTTTAATTTTAAAGCTTTAATTTATTATTATAAATCCAACAATTTCATGGAAACTACCTTAGTAAAATAATACAGTCCTATAAAGCAATTAACTATAATGTAATTAGATTTTGAATGGTAACAGTATATTTCGGTATGCCTCTTAATAAACCTTTAAGATAATATTTTTGTGGTTACTTAGAGGTTGCACATGTGGAAAGTACAAAGTTCATTCTCCAGACCACTTAGTAAGAAGTATGGAAGGCTTCCACAGGGGGCACAGTAATGCTAAGAGTTCTTATTAGGAAATGCACCAGACAAGAATTAACTATGTGCCTTCATGCTTGTTATCATGCAAAAATGCCTGACATTATTCAGTAATTTAGTGCCAATAGCTGTATTACTTTCTACATAATTATTAGCTTTTCATCTTAACTGTAAAAATACTAGCACTATTTTTGTAGCTCATTAAGTAAACACCAGTTTTCAAACAAGAAAAAAAAGCCCACTGAGCCCTCTGTGGGATTTACCATACACAGCTCGGTTCAGTTGTGGACTCTACCATAGCCATGTAATTAACAAAAAAAAATGCATTTCTTAACTTAAATGTACCAGGATGGACTTTTTGTATTTGATGATTTGGTCTGTTTTTCCTTCATTAGGGGTTTCACCAGAAATGAAATATTCAAATAAAATCATTGTAAGAATAATTTCTGATTCTTTTAGTGGGTTTTAGGTTTAATTTTATTACTTCAAATATTCACATGTATTGAACAATAATTCAATTATGATCAATAACTTAGTAAAAGTTTCTTCTATATTTTTGTATATGAACTGATCACTTCGCAACAATCACAAGTAATGTAGTCTGCTACTTCTGGACTAAAAAGCACTGTTGACATTTTGTTTTTAATACAAGTTTTTTGTGAAACTGTAATGTACTTATTTAAACTTGGTATCTAGCTTATAATATGATATCTTGAAATTATGATGTACTGATAAGCAAGTCAACATTAAAGTGTGTGAAATGCATGAAAATGCTTGTACATTACAAAAAATTATTTAAAAGAATAGGATACAGAGCTTTCTTAAGGGTTTGTTAGCTATTACACTGTCAAATCGAATATATCCTTTCAGAAATGTGATTATTGAATGTAAACAATATTTTTTAATCCAGAAAAGTAGTGGCCATATGTTACAGCCATATAAAGAAATAATTCATGCATATAAAGATAAACATTCACATCCAAATCTTTTTTTTTTTGCAAAAAGTATTTCTAAATACTGTTTTCTTATTTAAGATATAATATTGCTCTGTCAGTATGTCTACCTCTAGGTTATTTGAAGTCAACATATCCTAAAAATAATTAACTTTTTAATTTTTTTCTATATAATATACTTTGATGAAACATCATTACTTACAAACTTTACATACGTATTGATCTGTATTAAAATTAAAGTTTCTTCACATGTGAATGAACCTATCAGTGACAGAACTGTTTGATAATTAAATGTACTATTTTTCTATCTTTATAACACATAAACATCTAAAAACTAGCTCTCCTAAATTTGTACAAGTCTCCACACGTTCATCTTTCCACTTTCTATAGTCATCAATAAATACCAAATCCACTATACAATACAAAAAATACTTTGTGAAATAGATGACCAGTTAAAGGTAGTTATAGTTACTGTAAAAAAGTGAAGAGTTGTAGTTTTTGCTATGAAAACTGATCAGTGTTTTTTGAACCTACAGAATATATCTATTTGTTAAGTCTGATAATATAATAGCCATTAAAAGTTTATAAAATGCTTATTGGTAAAAACAGAATAATAAACTATAATTATTAAATTGAATTTTATGCTGAATTGATGTTTTATTTTGAAACTTTTCAGGGACAGGCAATAAGATGTGATTTTTTTGTGTTATATTCTGAAAGCAACAGGACGATAGGACACAAGCTTAAGATATGGACAAGACAGGCTAGGCTGTATTTAAGAAAATTATATTTGTAACGGGGTGATTGGCTTATGAAATGAGTTGTGGATGGTTTTTTACATGGTTTAATAGGGAGAATCAATAATGTTCTAAAAAAGATAGTGTTGGTTTTTAAGTTTTTAGTTTTCTCAAATGTGGATGTGCAAAGACAATTTTGATGGACAAAATGGTCTCTCCTTGTTCTGTATGTTAAGTTTGTTTATTATCCCTGATCTGTTAACTAGACAAGAGTTAAAAAATAAGCGAGTATTATGCAAAGAAACATTTATTGTACAAAAGAACAAGAAAGCATCAATATTTAGTTTTAAATCAATTGGATCATCTTCTCATATGAAAATGTTTACTTCAAAACAATTCACATAAACTATATATCCCAAAAGTAATTACTAACAATGTAGATGTAACTCGTTTCTTTTTTTCTTTCACCAAATTGTTTTAAATCAGTACATGGGGAATACATAAAGGGGGCATTTGCTCCCCCTACATTTCACAAAAATTTCACATATTATGAAGTAAACTTAACATTGTAGTTAAACTAAATATTTTGAGTAATTTTTATTAAAACTAAATTTGTGCTTGCGTTTAAGCACACATAACACATATTCTTTTAGTCTGTTGATTTACTCTGTAAAAGCTGATCCCTAACATACATTTTGACCCCCCCTCCCCCGAAAATATTTCTGTGGGTGCCCATGAGTGTAGGAACTTGATTATGCTACAGGTAAAGGTAATTCAAAAGTCTATGCAGAATTTGACTACTTTGCCAAAGATATTTCACAGTTATATAAAATATGAAAAAATTTTCCTAGCTAGGAATTATATTTAAAGAATTGTGAAATTAATAATTGAAGGCTTGTACAAGCTTTGTTGTTCAGTTTTCCCTAGTCCATACTTTGGTTTTATTAATTGAAATATAGTTTTATGTCTGGGTAAGGAAATTTTGAGTGCTATAAATTATTTTCATATGGCTAGTATGGTTGTTATCATTTTTATGAAAGTTATGTGTTAACCAAATTCTTTAACTTGGACAGATAAATTTAATAACCCATATTGGGATAAGAATTAAAAAAAAACACCTATATTAATATGGATGTCTCTTTTCTGTACATATTGTCAGTCATACTTAAGAAACTGAAAATAAAACCTATTTTGTGCCTGATTATGACAACGTAGATTTTAAAATGTCTTCACTAACTTTACCACACAACTCGGATGTGAATACAGTTGTAAGAAAATCAATAATATAAATGCTGTTGCTGCTGACTTATAATTGCTACTGTTAATCAGATGTTATTAGTGTTAAAAAGCACTAAGACATACCAGTACATTTACATCAATTGGTAAACTTGTAATCCAAAATGATAATAAGATACACATCACCTTTCTAAATTAAATTTTTAGATTAGGATACATATTACTATAAAAGGGTTGAATGGGCTAACAAATAATCATCCTCTAAAATAATTACTTAGTGTAATGTCCCAGTCTTTAGCCTCATGTTTTCTGTCCGTATCAAAAATGGTAAAAGTATGAAATTGTCCTAGTTTCTCTGTACTTCAGTGTGAGTTTGATATTTAAAGTTTGCCATTTTTATATGGCTCCTTTAAATCTTTCTTGGAGACTCACCTGACAAAGACTATTTATATTGTACAATATCCCCTCCTTCTCTGCTTTGTTTGCTTAATAATTTGCCAATGGGCAGCTACAGGAATTGAGATTTGAAAACTTGCCCAGCCACATAAAAAAACCCACATTTTTCTTTTAAATAAGTTTAAGACAATTTAGGCATATTTTTTTTTTATTTAATATTATTTTTAACAAGATACACCTTTAACAAATTTTGTTTGTCTTCGGTTTTAAAATGTGATGCAACAGACATTTGAGTATTTAGCATATGGTAAAAAGTATGTTATTGTAATTTAAACTGTTCCAAAGCTGTTATGGTGTCCCACTGTATTGGGAGGGTGTTCCAGTTTTTCACTCTGGAAATCTAGTAACCCTACTAATGACAGTTTGCTCTCAACTACTGATCTCTATCCTAAACTGGATTGAGAATTGACCCTTTCATGTGGAGTCATGAAAAATTTTGGAAAGCTTATCTGGTAGAATGAGAAAATTATCTTTTTAATTTAATAGACATCACTGGGAAAAGAAGTATGCAACTTGACATAAAACACCATTTATTAGTTTTCTAACTGCAATCAAATCTGTGCAACAATTATATGAAACTTACTATCATCACCTTTACCTCCTTTAAGTATCTTTTGACATATAAATTAAGCCAGGATTACTTGGAAGTTTTTTTACTACTGATGCTGTTAGGTCATTTTGCAATTGTAATGACATTCCCACTGTTCAACGGTTCACAGATACATATAAAATATTGCTCATACGCAATGAAATAAAAGCAAACTGCACTACACATGACGATGCATCATTTTTAAGTGTTAGCAAAGATCGTATAGCACTTCCTAGTGGTTCTGAAGGTATGTTAGACGTGGGCGATAAGCAGAATTGACGTTGAAGTATGTGAGCCTATACAGGATGACCATGATTACGAAGATGTGCCAAATTGCACACCCTTTTTTTACCTATAAGAAAGTCAAAATAAGACAAAAAAATTAATGCATTGTACAGATTTTTTGGAATAGAGATCTTGGTAAATGAAAATTCTAGAAAGTTGTTAATTTAGCAACAAAGAACAAGTAGAGATGGTTTGGTAAAGGCATCAGTAAATGTAATTAAAATACGTAAGGTAGCAGAAATGGTAAACTTCCTCGGGCAATTACAGTTGGCTTCGGAATACAGACTGCTGTTTAGAAAGTAGTAGTTTTCAATGTAGTTTGCTCTGTTTTAGATGGACGCATTTATGTATTATATAAAAATATATATTCCTAAGTAACAATCTGCTAAAGTTGCAGGAGAAAAGTGAGAAAAAAAAAGTATTTTAAGTTAAGTTTATTTAACCATCAATAGTTTCAAATTATATGGAGTATTAAAATGTTTGTTATGTTGTGTACGCCTTTTACAAGCTGCCAAAGAATGATTACCAATATAATTGCCATAGGACATAAGTATTAGACGTAATACATTCTTAAACACTAAATTCTTAATCTAGCCCAATAGGGATTTTCAAGAAGTAGAAGAATATATAATAATGATAATATCATTCCAAACACACTATATTTGTCATATTCATTACTTTTCGCTCAATCCAAAGCTCTTCAGATAGGCTGGGATACAACTAATAATGTTTGTACTATTATTGTGTTTATTGTATCCCAGCCAACCTGAAAGACTCTGGATTGAGTGAAACGCGTCATCAGCAACAGATATGACAAATACAATGTGTATAATTGTTATTAAAAGGTTTGTACAATATCCAAAGTGTGTAGAGAACTTAAAAGTTGTTTATTGTCGAATATACTGAGTGTAATATATGTGGTTACAACAACCAATTATTTTATAATTTATGCCATAAAATATAAATATATATATATATATATGTGTGTATTGTAGTACACGTACTTTATTAGCCTACTCATGTACATATGTATATTGTAATCAAAATAATAGTTATGCTGTATTGGTAAACACTCAACTACAGCACGTAACAAGTTTTGTGCCATTTCGATATTAATACTTGCATTGTGTTTATACTGTAATTTCTACGTTACCACAGACTTGTATAAGCTTTTACCGAAATTTGTCACTTTCTTATTGACATAGCCCATTGTGTAGCTTTGTGCTTAACTTCAAACAAATAAACAAATTCTTATTAATATAGCAGACCACAATAAAATAAATTCAAACCAACACCATATTCAGTTACTGCTTTTTTATTTTTTCAATACCAATTGTACTAACATAGCAATTTTATTTACTTAGTTACTACAAAAACGTAGCATATATGAATTTAAATGTACACAGCCTCTAAACCCATTCCTAAACATGCTCGTCCTTCTAGCCGTGAAGGCGTTATAACGTTATAGCTAATGCCACTATTCGCCGGTAAAGAGTTGACGGTGGGTGGTGTTGACTACTTACCTTCCCTCTAGTCTATCGAAGTGGTATAATGTTAATGCCACTGTATTTGGTGCTGCATAGTACATGCAAAAGATTGGGAATGAAATACTCCACAACTAGCTCCTGCATGTAAAAAAAAAAAGGTCCCATTTAATTCATGTTTTTGTTGGCACTGCCCTTAACTGCTCTGTAATATCAGATGCTAGAAAAAAGATTATCAAATTTGGTGCCTTGGGTAAACGTGTGCAAATTAGAATAACTGTAAAATGAGTGTGCGCTAAACTTGGAAATGAAACTGTAATGAAACCCCCGGCTATTGTTCCTACTAGGTGTTTCAGTTTCTTGGAGAGACTGTGTGTTGACATATGCACGTAGGCTGGCTTAATGGCTTTCTTGAAGAGAGAGACGATGCCATGAATAAAGAAATCATTCCAACTCACTAACAGTAACAGAGTATATGCCCAGCTTGTGTTTCTGAAAGAAAAGCTTGGTTTTAATTGTGCAAAAAAGGTTGGAGAGATATGGTTCTATTCTTCACAAGTGTGCTACATTGCAGAAGTTAAGCTCCCTATTTGCTAGGAACCAGAGCACAAAGATTGTACCAAAGTGAAGTGTAGTTTTTGGAATGCTGTCATCTAAAGATTCTGCTTAGGTGAGTCGATCTATTAATGAATTATCTGTAGTCCCAAGAGAAAAATGGAAAAAAATAACTGCAAATAATATGTCTACCACTGTGGAGAAGTTATAGATGCAAGGATGAATGCTGGATCCTTTCCTGAAGTCAGCTCAGAGTTATGAATTTCATAACTACAACAAAATGTTTTCCTTGTGGAAAGATGTAATAACTGGAGCTCTGCACTTACAATTCAGTCAAGACATAAGAGAGTAGTCAACTGTACTTAATTGTGTTTAAGTATTTTTTTATCTGAATAAAACCAGATTTTAACCAGAATATTTATTCTTTCTTGATTATGCATGAAAAATTTCACCCGATTTTGTCCCTTTTTATATTAAAAATTATTGACCCTAATTTATAAAAGAATTTGACCCAAAAATCAAAACTCCTAGCCATACTTGATTTGAAAATGGACAAAAAAAAAAAAACGTGATAAAAAACCTAATAGAGAGGAATTAAGTTTCGCTCTGGGACAACTCGGGATCTTAATAGAAAAAACCTGGAATTTCCAGGAGCCATGGTAGTGAGTTAGTGTTAAAAAAATGAGCTAAGTCCAATCCAAAAATACAAACTATAAATTATTGTTTTGGTTATAAAAAGGAGATTTACACAATATTCGCAGCGTATAACAAAATATAATCAAAGAAAGAAGAAAAACAGGAAGTTACAATACATTTAACTCGCCTGCCATCCAACTCGACCCACACCAAATGTCTTTGTTCTCATCAAATTACCAGTATTTGGCTTCAAATGCTCTTTTATACCCTGGTATTAAACAGGCGTGTGCTTGATCCCATATAATGTTGTTCACATCGAGAACAGGCATATC